AATGAATTGTGCCCGAACATTCTACTTTTATTCTGGAAAAATTTATGCCGGCAAAGAAAATAAAAAACGCGCAAAGAACCTAGCGCATGATGTAGTCATGAATCTTACCGTTCCAATTCACAATACTGCAAGAAATATCACAACGGATAACTGGTATACATCTATACCCTTAGGAAAAAGTTTGTTGCAAAAAAAATTAACACTGGTTGGTACTTTGAAAAAAAATAAGGTCGAAATTCCCAAAGAGTTCCAAGCAAACAAACAACGAGCTGTTTATTCTACGTTAGAAGGTTTTTCAGAACTGGGGAAAATGGTGTCGTATGTTCCCAAGAAAGGCAAGTGTGTGATCATTTTTAGTACAATGCATGATGATAGAAGCAAACTGGAAGCTGAAAATAAAAACAAGCCTGAAGAAATCGAATTCTATAATAAATCAAAGGGAGGCATAGATACATTAGATAAATTGTGTGCCACGTACACGACTCAAAGAGTGCCACGACGCTGGCCTATGGTAATTTTCTATTTTATGTTGAATGCTTGCACAATAAATGGTCAAGTAATCTTCAGAGATGTTAAACCTGATTATTTCAGAGATACTTCACATTCTAGACGATTATTTATACGTGAAATAGGTGAAGGTTTGGTGAGAGCGCAACTTCAGATAAGGTCCGGTATACCAAATTTGCAACCTTTGGTAAAGTTAAGTCTTGCGCGCTGTGGATTTGAAGTTCCCCCTAGACAAGAACAAAACCTTGATCAACCAGGACCACCAGCAAAACGCAAAAGATGTGCCTTATGTTCACGGCAAGATGATAAAAAAACGAACCTTTATTGTTCTAAGTGTAAAACTGCAATATGTAAAAATCATTCTTATATTATATGTTCTAATTGTCATAAATAAAATATTTTTTATCTATAATGTAAAATAGACCTTAAACATTGTTCTTATAATTTGGTTTTCTCAAATAAAGTTTGTTCCTAAATAATAACAACATTCTTTACATGGGGTCATATAGACCCCGTTGTGCACTCCGTGTGACTCAAAAAGACTGTGCACTCGGAAGGTTAAGGGGGGACATCATAGTAAAATTTTGAAAAAATCGAATTTTTGTTTTTTCGCTTAAAAGGTGCTTTAGGGCCTTAAGAATAATATACCAACAGATAGAATATGGCAAAAATGAGGAACTGCCCGAAATTCTGATTCTGCGGCACGCCTCTCTGCTCCGCGCGCCTTCTGTTGTCTGGGAGCGCGTTAAGACGCGTTTTCCTCCACGGTCGCTAGTCGCTGGCGACTACGACTGAGTAGCTACGACTCATTCGCTATTACTCATACAATGCTTATCAATATGTTTGTTTTCCTAGCGACGACTCGGTCGCTAGTCGCCGGCGACTGCCGCCGACGATTGAGTAGCTACGACTTATTCGCTGACGAATTTCTATTTATTGTGTGTTTTCCTAGACTCACGAGAAGACGTGTAAAAATGAACGTATGTCAAAGAAATTTAATAAAAATGTTGTTAAATTATCAAGAAGAAGAGGAAAATTTACTCCTTTCTCTAGTTTTCGAAAGTGAAAAGAAAAAGGAAAAATATATTACCCATGTTTAAAAACCGAAGATTAGAAGGATATCAATCAATATTAGTGAAAAATCATTTAATAGACTACGAACTAAAGTTTAAAGAATTTTTTCGTATAACTCGTAATCAATTTAGTTATATATTGGAGCTCATCCAAGACGATATTACAATGAAACCTTACAACCGCGTCAAGCATCCAATATCACCAGGGGAAAAATTGGCATTAACACTAAGGTAAAATAAATTTTCTTTATTCCAGAACAAAATATTTTATTAACTATGTGAAAAAGAATTAAACAAATTTGCTATGTCAGCATTGGGCTGCGTATCCTGACACTGGTCCACATTATGTACATTTTGCTGCTCCCAATTTGAAGGAGACGGCAACGGTGTTGTACTGGTGCTAGAGTACTCATATGGGCTATCACAGCTCAGCTGTGGTGGTAGTGACCGCAGTAAATCCACTTCTGCGTCCGATACTATTTGATATAGTTTTCTTTTTATTTGTGCTCTTAGCAGAGGCGGAAATTGTTTTACAGTCAAGGCCAAGCTTTTAAAGAAGGTGTCAGTTTCATCGTCAGGTGTAGCTTGAGCCATATTCATCTGCGATATTATTGCAGCTCTTTCCAACCGGTTTTTTTTTAATGCTGATAACACCTCGCCTGCAAAAGTTGGCTTTCTTTTTTTTTGCTTAGGCTCACTGCATCCTGACGATATTGTTTCGTTTAAAGCTGGCGTAGGCCTTTCGTCACACAAATTTTCTATATCTACTTCATCATTATCATTATCATCATCCTTATCATTTTCTGTTGTATTTAATACCATAACAGTTTCTTCGGTGCCACCACTTTGCATGTCGTTATTTGATGTTTGCACACTGTTATTTGTTAACCCCCTACAACAGTAAAGATTAATTATTTTGTTTTCATAATCTATATCAGTCAAAAGTAAAAGCTATACAATATAAAAGTGTGTAATGTAAGTGTACGTGATGCACAGTATGTGAGAGTTTAGTATTGATCTTTTTGAATATTTGTTCAGTACGACGTATGGTTACCTTCTTTGGCGTTTGACACTATCTAAAAATGATAGTTGTTCCAAAATGGGATTTCGTTTCTTGCTTTTAGAAGCAGCACTGCCTGTTGGCATTTTTGTATTTTTTTTGTGTTTGAAATAATTATCTCGAAGATTCTTCCATCTCTTCTTACAAGATGCAACTTAAAAAAAAGTTAATATTTCATTACAATTTAACAATTTTGTTTTTTACAGGTTTCTTGCAACAGGGGAATCTTACAGATCCTTATCATTTGCATATCGAATATCCCACAGCTACATTAGCGTGTTTATACCAATCGTCTTACAAACTTTATGTAAGAAACTAATGCCAATTTTACTTCCACCACCTTCAGAAATGGATTTGAAACAAAAGGCAGAAGAGTTTTGGAATCGTTGGAACTTTCCCAACGTTATAGCTGGCATTGACGGAAAACATGTGCGAGTTATGGCTCCAGATAACAGCGGCTCACTTTTTTTTAATTATAAAAACTATTTTTCCATAGTGCTGTTGGCTCTTGTTGATGCTAATTACAAGTTCCTATACGTAGACATTGGATCATATGGAAAAGAAGGTGACGCAGGAATTTTTGCCAAATCTAAGATTGGGAAACAAATTTACGGCGATAAGTTCAATTTCCCCTTACCTGCGTTACTTCCCCGTTCCAAAAACACTATTCTACCGTATGTGATTCTTGGAGATGATGCATTTAAGTTAGACAAACATGTAATGAAACCTTACCCAAAAAAGCAAATTTTCGAGGATCCAAAGAAAACAATTTTTAATTACCGACTGTCTCGGGCTAGAAGAGTCACAGAAAATGCTTTTGGTATACATTGTCATGTATTTAGAATATTCTTTTCTCCTATAAATGTGAAACCCAATACTGTTGATCTGATTGTTCTTACCTGTTGTTGTCTACGTAACATGTTGCGTACCGAATACATACTAAATAACCAACGCGAAATATTCGTACGAGCAGCGAAGTTTTCGTTGCGATATTGTCGCCGGCTAGACCGTACACGGCGATAAATGCAAGGTCCCACATTGACGCGAATGTTTGGCGTCTTCAATAGTACGTGTCTGCGAAACTGCAGCGATTTTATTTCTAGTCATTGCGTGCACGATTTTTGTCACTATTAGCGGTGTTTTTC